GCCGCCGCGGGCAGCCCTTGCGCGGGGGAGCGGCCTGGGCCCTGCTGCCGCCCGCCGGCGCCCCCGCGTGGGACCGCAGCGCTCCCCCGTGGGCCCCGGGGCCCCTGACGGGAAGAGGCCTCGGGCCACGCGGACAGCCCAGCCCGGCGCTCCCTGGGCCGCCCGGGCTGCGGCCAGCAAGGGGGCCCGCAGTGGCCCCGCGGGGAGGCGGTGGGGCGGGCGGGCGGGCCGGGTCCCTGCCGCCCGAGCGCCTGGCTCGCAGGCCGGGCGCTGTGCTTCGGGCGAGCGCCTCAGCGCACGGGGCAGACCTCCAGCCTGGGCGGCGGGGGAGGACATGCCACGGGCCGGGCCGGGCCGGGCCGGGATCTGGGAGCGGGGTGTGGGGCCGCTCCGGAAAGGATCAGAGGCACTGGCCCTGGAGCCGGGAGGGAGGGAAGAGGCCAAGGAAAGCAAGGGCAGGGAAAGGGCCAGGCGAGGAAGCCCTCCCCTCCCCCGCCCGGTGGATTAAGGCCACGTCCGGGGAAGCCAATAAGCTAATTTCCTCCTTGCTCGCAACCTTTCTTGGCCGCAATGGCGGAGGAGGAGGAGGAGGCAGGGGGCGCCTTTGCCGGGAGCTGCAAGAAGCCCTCGATGGAGGTAAGGCCTGAGAGGGGGCCGAGTCCAGCCGTGGCCAAGCAACTCCATGCTCCCCAAGGCCAGTTCGGGGGTGGCCGCTCTGTCGCAGAGGACCCCTGGGGTCCCACGGAAAGCGCCAAAATGGCATTCTGTGAGAGGTGTGCCGAGGGCCCGCGGAAGGGCATCCCACGACTCCCGAAGCTCTTTGTTCTCTCAAGGGCCCCCCAAAAGGAGCAGGAACTGTACCAGCTGTGGAGCTGGGGATGGTTGCAGGTGCTGGGAAAGTGCAGGAGAAAAAGAGCTGCGTCAGGAGTGAGGCTGCGTCGGGGCTCGGCAGCCCCCGCTGAAGCGGCTTGTTCCTTCCCCCTCCAAGCTGCCTTGCCCTCGTGAGAGGAGCCAGGGCGGAATCTTGAGCGGGTTTGTTTCGGCCTCTGTGTCCGGACGGCCGTCTGGACGGTGTCTCGCTGTGCGAGCTCAGAGGACGTGTGCAGATACGGTGGCCAAAGACTTCCCTGGAGCACCTTTCCCAGCCTTGCCAGGAGCTCGGCCGATGGCCAGACGAGGCCAGCGGAGGCGATTCTCATTGCCGGGAAGTGCTGGGAGGACTTGCTCCCTGTGCACCAGGCTGGGAAGGGCGAGGGGAGCCGGCTCCTGGGCGAGGGGTGGCTCGCCGGGAAGCCCACCTGTGTGGGGCCCGGGGAGCGGCAGGGCGGGCTGCGTGGAGGGAGGTGCAGCCAAGCCGGCACTTGGCGCTGCCACAGGGACACCGCTTGCTCATGGCGCACAGCCAAGAGGGCAGGGAGAGGAGGGTGGTAGGAGGCCCACCCTCCCCGTGGGGAGCTTGCATGGGATGGACGTGTGGCACTAAATGCCTGGCACCCGGTGTAGCCCGGAACACTGCAGGTGCCCTGGGGACCCCGCTGGGAATGTTGGGTGCAGTGCCCGCCCGGGGCCTGTTCCCGCAGCAAGAGGCCCGCAGCACCAGGAGGCAACAGCGCTTTGGCCTCCACCTCGCCGTGCGCGTTCTGACGTGCTCGAGGCTGAAATGAGCGAGCGCAGTGTTGCAACATGTCCGAGGTGGCATGGAGCGGCGGGGGAGTGTCGGGTTTGGTGGTTCTCCAGCTCGCTCGTGTGTCTGAAACGGTTTGACTCCACGGATGGGGTGGATTCCTTGAGGGCCACTTTCCTGCTGCACTTGCACAGGTGTGCCTGGGTCTCTGCTAGGGCATCTCGGGAGATGTGGGAACATGCGGGGAGCTTCCGCCATGTCCTGTGACTGACCCCACAGCCTGGATTGCCTTTGGAAAGGTTTGCAAAAGGTGGCCAAGAAAAAGGAGTTGCAACTAAGCCCCCTTTCCAGTGCCAAATGTGCAGAGCGCATGCAGCTTCCCCGCACTTCCAAACATGTTCAAGGAGCTGCCTCCTTTTTTATTTATTTATTAAAACATTTTTATGCCGCCCCATTTGCCGAAGCCTCGGGGCGGCTCACATCATCAAGTTAAAATAATTATAATATAAATTAAAAATATAAATATTAAATTAAAATACAACAATACAGTATAAAATAAGCCGCCCTGGCCAAATAAAGGCATCCCATAATCAATTCAAGCCGCAACACCCCAGATTCAGGCTAGATTCCAGGAAAAGTTTCCTCACTGTCAGAGCAAGACGACGGGAACCAGCTGCCTGGAGAGGTGGGGGGGGGGCTCTCCCACACTGGGGACATTCAAGGCGAAACTGGGCAGCCCTCTGAGTGGGGTGGTGTGAACTGGTGTCCTGCACGAGCAGGGGCTGCACCCGATGGCCTTCCTGGCCCCTTCCAACTCTGCTCTCCTATGATTCCTCACCAGACCCAGAAAGTCGCCTTATCTTGAGCCATGCTGTTCCCCTGAGCCCAGCAACCATGTGGGGCCCTCCTCCTCAGTCCCGCCTGGAGTATCATGGGGCTCATAGACTGGTAGGATAGCAGAGCTGAATCGGCACTTGCCAATCTGATGGTCTTTCCTTGTACTTCCTCATCTAAATCAGTGACGATGATGTTGGAGAGCACTGGGCCCAGGACTGAGCTCTGTGGCACCTGCCTCTAGCCAGTCTGAGAAGGGGCCGTCGAGCACTCTTGGTGACTGATGAAGCAGCCAATTATGGATTCACGTAACATTTCTTCTGTCTCGTCCCCTCCTTGCTAATTGGCTTATCTGAATGTCGTGGGGCACTGTGTCGAAAGCTTTGCTAAAGTCGAGGTAGAGTATGTCCACTGTGTTCCCTCTGCCCATTTGGGAGGTTACCCGGTCAAACAATGTTAAATTCGTCTGGCAGGAATTATTTTTGATAAATCCAAGTTGGCCTCTATTAATCACGGCATTTTCTTTAAGATGCTGGCACACTGATTTTGTAATAATTCGCTCCAGACCAGAATTTTTCCAGGGACTGATGTCAGACCATCTGGTCTGCAGTTCCCCGGTTCGTCCTTTCCCCCTTTTTGAAGGTGGGGCAGCGTTGGCCCTTCTCCCATCCTCTGGCGCTTCTCCTGCTCTCCAAAGTTTATCGACGTGGTTCTGAGAGCTCCTCCGCGGGCTCTTTCACGACTCCAAGATGGCGCTCGGCAGGCCCTGGAGACTGGAACGTGTGGATTCCTGTCCCTCCGCCCCATCTGGCCCCGAAGCCTGCCGCAGGAGTAGCCCCCTTCACGTCGCTTGGACACAGGCTGTCCTTGTGGCCACCAAGGCAGGGAGGGGGCGCAGAACTGCTGGCCTCCCGGAGGAGAGCTCTCCGGAGCCCTTGGCCCCTGCACCCGGGCAGTGCAGGCAAGCTCCGGCAAACGGGGGAACAAAGAGCGGGGAGGCTGCAGGCCAGGCTGCAGGTGCCGCCACTTTAGCGCATTTCAAAGTACAACCAGCAACAGATCAATGGTAGCAACAACAAGCGAGTTGCTCAAGGAAGCTATGCAGCCTTTTTTAGACGTTTAAGAGGAATAAGAACCTGCCAGGGATGGCTAGGACCGAGGCGTGGGCCTTTCGGTTGCTTCTGGATGTTTGTTCCTGTACACGGAGGCTCCCCATGAGTGCTCAGGCTCTCCCTCTAGGTCACACGCACACGTGCAAGCACACGCACAACACCCCTCTCTTTCCAAGGATGTGCCAACACACTTCGCCTTTCCAGACCTGGATGCCCCCAGTAGCAACGCGAGCCCCAAGAGCGCAAAGCGTCTGGGTCACACTACCTCGTCTATGCGCTCTGCTCTCTCCCCGCTGCCCTCCTGCAGTGGACCCTTGGCTCTGGACGACAGATTGAGGCTTCCCAGCCTGGCCCTTCAAACCCTGGCTCCACATTTTGGAAAGTCCCACCCAGGCTACCGTACGCATTTCCTTATTACGTGCTCACACCACGCCAGCCACTGCGGGCAGCACGCACCGTGGGCCGGTCCCTCCCCAGGATTGTCCCAGAGTGACCCTGGCAGTGCTTCCCCTGAGCGAGCATGAAAGGGCAATGGGGACGTGAGGCGCAGGCAGGCAGCGCTCACCCTGGTTTTTCCTTAGGCCTGCCAGAGGCTTTTTGATGGCTGAATGAACGAACAAGCCCAAATCTCTTCCTGACCATAGTAAGGACTGATCCAGCTGGACGTTTCCACAAGTGAGATGTTTATTTTTCGATTTATATCCTGCCTTTTTCCTACACGGGGCTCAAGGCAGCTTACATCATTCTCCTCCTCCATCTTATCCCCACAACAACAGCCCTGTGAGGTAGGTTGGGCTGAGAGTCTGTGACTGGCCCAAAGTCACCCAGTTGGCTCCATGGCTGAGCGAGGACTTGAACCCAGATCGCCTGAGTCCCAGTCCCGTGCTCTTAACCACCACACCACACTGGCTCTGGATGTGAACGTCCAGAGACACCTGGTGGCACCTCTAGGCCACCCTCCGGCCTGAGGCAGGCGCTGCCTTGGGGAGCACCCAGGACAGAAATTGGCCGAACCGGCGCCGTGCACAAATGCATCCGCGGTTCTTCGGAAACAGGAAAATACGTGGAGGGGCTGCCTCCTGCCCCTTCTCCCTTTGGAGAGCAAGGCACAGAGCGAATGTTTATGAGGAAGGCTTCTGCAATGTCTAAACGCAAGGAGAGGCCACTCTGCATCGCAAGGACTGGTGCGGTTGATGCGAGGACTCCTGGCGCCAGCTGAGCAAGCCCACAAAAACGACTGGATGTGCTTAGAAACAAACCGAGCGAGTCAGGAGGGGCCTCCTGGGCCACCGAGTCTGACCAGCCAGCTCTGCTCACTGAATGTCCAACAGGCGGGTGTTCAATCACCCTTGAACACCCTCCCTGATGGGGCCTCCACCTCCTCCCTTGGAAGCCCACTCCATAACCTAGTGGTCTGTCAGGAGCTACTTCCTGAGATCCAACCTGAAACCTGGTTCCTTGGGCTCTGCCCCATGGGATCGTGTACACACAGAGAACAGGGTCATGACCCTCTTCCATGTGACACCCCTTTACATATTACGTGTATGTCACTGTAAGAGCTCCTCTGAGGCACCTCTTCGCCAGACTGAAAAGCCCCAGCTCCCTCCGTCTCACCAGTGTGGCATCGCCCCCAATCCGCCTCCCATCCTTGCGCCCCTGTGCTGCACTGATTCCAACCTTCCTATGTCCCTCTTGTAATGTGGAGCCCAGAATGGACCCAGTGCTCCAGTTGCAGGTGCACCAGAGTCGCAGAGTGGCATCAGCACCTCTCTATGTGGAAGCCACGCTTCTGGCTATGCAACCAAGGGTGGCACTCGCCCTCTTGGCCACCGCATCACACGGCTGACCCCTGTTCAGCCTGCAGTCGACCCGCACCCCGAGGTCCCTTTCACAAGTGCTGCTCTCCAGCCACTTGTCCCCGAACCTGCACTTATGACACCCACTCTTGATTCCCAAGTGCAAGACTTTGCGCTTAACTGCATTGGACCTGTTCTCCCACGCCCTTTTCCACGGTCTGTCCATGCCCTTTCGGACCTTGAGTGGCTGCTCCTCCATTGCCTCCACTTTGGTATCATCAGGGAATGTGGTCAGCAGACTGGCTGCCCTCTCCTCCAGGTCACCGATAAGACGGCGGAAGAGAATCTGTCCCAGAACAGAGCCCAGCGTCTCCACTTGTCATTGGCTGCCGTCCTGATAGTTAACCCCCTGCTTGCAGTCCATCAGCCATGCTCTAATCCACCAGACAGTGCGTCGATCTATCTATCTATCTGAAATATTTATATCCTACCCTATACGCAAAAGCATCTCAGAACAGCTTACAAAAATAAAAAAAACCAGATTAACAAGTTAACAATAATTAGATGGTTAAATATACACATAAAACTAATAGCATTTCACAGATGAAAGAAAATAAAAACAAATCAAGAATAAAAGCAAAAGCAAAAAACAACTGTGAAGTTAAAACCTGATTAAAATTCCTAACATTCAAAATGAGGGGCAAATAAAAAGGTTTTCACCAGGGGCCAAAAAGAACATAAACGGCGCCAGGCGAATGTCTCTGGGGAAATCCCAAAGCTCATCCATTTCTCAGCCAGGGTATCACACAGCACCTTGCCAAAGGCCCTGCTGAAATCCAGGTGAACCACATCCACCGCATCCCCTCCGTCCAGCCACCTCGAAGCCTTGCTGCAGAACCCCACCAGGTTCGTCTGGCAGGACCTGTTGTTGCACGGCTGCCAACCCCATTCCCTATCTAGGGTTTCTAGAGCTTTCCCCATTGTCAGCTTTTCCATTGTCTCTCCCAGATGGACGTTGAGCTAACTGGCCTGTATTTCTCCTTGGCCTTTCTGGTACCCTTTTTCAAGACTGGGACCACTGACACCCCCTCCAGTCCTCTGGAGCGTCTCCTGTTTTCCATGAGGCCTCAAAAACGGAGGCCAGCGGGTGTGAGAGGACCCCGCCAATTCCCGAAGTAACCTTGGGTGCAACCTGCCAGGGCCCGGCACCTTCATAACGTCCAGGGCAGGGCCCCGAGGAGCCCCCTGGCTTCTGGGGAGCGGCTCTGCCCTGTGCCCCGCAAGGCCCCCTCATCCCCCCCTTCTCGGAAAGGAGAGCCCACCTGTGCCACGCAGCCCGTGAAGTGGCTCGGGGAGGCCCGGCTCTGCTTGGCGCCCCGGCGAGGTCCAGCTGGCTGACCTCATGACACACGCTAAGTCATGCGTGGCTTAGCTAGGATTAGCGTCAGCCCGGGCGGTCCGGCATCCCCGCCTCCCTGGCCCACGGGCTGCCATGCTGCGGCCCATCCCCCGCCAGCCGGGCCGGGGGAGGGGCGCGGGAGCAGGAAGCTGCGCTTTGCCCGTGCGCAGGGGGCGGGCCAGCGGCCACGGCCTGCCTTGGCTGTTTGCAGCCTGGCTTGATGGAGGCGGAGGGGGCCAGGCGGGCCAGACCTGCTGCTCAGCTGAAGCTGGAGCCTCCCCCAGTTGAAGCATCCCCCCCATGGGTTTGGTGGCACCCATGGGGGGCTGCCACCGCCCACGGCCAGAGCATATGGAATGCACCTGTGCACCAGCCGCTGGGCAGTAGGGGGCTGGGGTGCTCATGCCCCACCTGTGAGTTTCGCTGGGCCGCTGTGTGAGCAGAAGGCTGCGCCTGATGGACACCCCCCCCCCCCAGTCTGGTCCATCGTCAGGGCTCCCCTCTTGTCTCCGATACGGGCAGAGCAGAGGGCAGGAGCCACCCCAGAGAAGGCCATGCAAGCTGCAGCGAGCGGCTGGCCTCTCCCGCCTTCAGTCCCTCTAGCCGGCAGCCCTCCCGCGAGCGACGGCGTGCTTGTGCGCGAAGCCGGCTGGGCCTGCGGCGCTGCCGGTGCATGGCGCTGCCTTCTCCCCTTTTCCTGGGCCAGGAGGGAGTCCTGGGCCGCCGCGTGGAAGGCAAGGCGGCTCGGCGCGGGAGCAGCCCAGCTGCCGGGGCCGGGCGGGGGAACCGGCGAGCTCCCGCAGGCCGCGCCGCCGCGGGCGGACTGCAGGCGCGGCGGGCCCCGAAGCGCGCGCTCACGACCACGGGAAGCAGGGTCGCCCCCGGCGGGGGGCGGCGAGCGCGCGGCCGGTTGCGCCCCCGCCCCCTGCAGGCCCCGCGGAGCGCGGCAGCCTCCGGCCGTCACGTGGCCCTGGCGCGCTCCCGCTGGCGTTGCTCCCCCGCCGACGCGCGCACGGGAGGCCAGGCCATACCAGGCGGGGCGGCCCGCGCGCTCGGTAGGAGGGGGCGCCGTTCGTCGCTGTGGCCACGACCGGCCCGGCAACCGGGCGCAGCCGCGTGCGCACGTGTGGACGCGG